GAAGGGGTTGACTGGCCCAGTTGGCGGCCAAGGCTCGTCCTCCCGATGGCCCGACCAGCTGGACCTGCTGCCCTGTGCTCCGTCAGCAGGGACTCCTTCGTTTCCATACAAAGAAATCACCGCACAGATGCCTTGGTGTGTGGAGCAGACTTTACTGAGGTTTGGAGACAAAGGGGATTTACATAGCAAAATACAAAACACTTGAAGTTGAATATCGGACACCCATGAACCCAGACACCGTTTCCTCCCACCGGCCTCCTACCTTCCTCGGAGGTCCAGGCCCACCTCACCCGTCCTGTCGCGGGAAGCGAAACAAAAACCCACTTCCGGACAGCATCTTAATTGGAGTGGCTCAGCGCTCCCTTTCCAGAGTTACTTTCTCAATGAAGAACACCTGCTCCCTGTTTCCGACTCCCCGCCTCGCCACGGTGGCCTCCGTGCTGAACCAGGCTCCCCGAGGCCTCCTCTCTGCCTTTGTTTTTTTTTTTTTTTTTTTGGCCATACCGCAGCATGTGGGATCAACCAGCATTCGAATCCATGCCTCCTACATTGGAAATCCAGGGTCTTAACCACTGGACCACCAGGGAAGTCCCTTCTCTCTGCCTTTTAAAGGACATCAGAGCAGAGCTTTTCTCTAAAAATGTGTGTGTGTGTGAGTGTGTGTGCATGCTGGCACCTACATGTCCATATGTGTGTGTGTGTGTGGTGTAAGTATGTGTGTCTATATGGTGAATGTTGAGTGTATGTGTGTAGGTACATGATACGTGTGTGTGTGTGTGATGAGTATATGAATGTGTGTAGGTGTGTGTGTCTATGTGTAAGTGTGCATACAGTGTGTGTAGGTGTGTGGTACATGTGGTATGTTTGTGATGAGTGTATGAATGTGTGAGTGTATAGGTGTGTATGTCTGTGTAAGTGTGTGCATATAATGCGTGAGCATGTGCTGTGTGTGTGTTTATGAATGTGGTATGTTTGTGATGAGTGTATGAATGTGTGAGTGTATAGGTGTGTATGTCTGTGTGAGTGTGCATATAATGTGTGAGCGTGTGCTGTATGTGTGTTTATGAATATGTATACTGTGTGTGTGTATGAGGTACATATGTGTGTGTGTATATGGTGAGTATATGAATGTGTGTAGGTATGTGTGTCTATGTGTAAGTGTGTATACAGTGTGTGTAGGCATGTACTGTGTGTGTATGTATAGGTATACAGTGTGAGTGTGTGTGTAGGTGTGTGGTACATGCAGTATGTTTGTGATGGTGTGTATGTCTATGTGTAAGTGTGTGCATGTAATGTGTGTAGGTGTATGCTGTATGTGTGTGTATGAGTGTGTATACAGTGTGAGTGTGTGTGTAGGAGTGTGGTACATGCATGTGTGTATGTGATAACTACATGAACGAGTGTGCAGGTGTGTGTGTCTGTGTAAGTGTGTATATACTGTGTGTAGTTGTATGTGCTGCATTGTGTGCATGAGTGTGTATACGTGTGTGCCTGTATGTGTGCTGTAAGTGTGAACGTGTAAGTGTGTGTGGCCGAAGTGGCAGGGGCAGTCAGGACCAACCTCTTCATGCATCGTGCCCGCCGTGTGCCCCGTGAGACGGGTGTGGGGCTGCCCTCTCACACGTGTGCTCACCCTCCTCCCCATAGCAGCCCACAGTATTCCTGTTTCGCAGACGAGGTCACAAAGGTTCCCGGAGCTCAGTCAGTCGCCCCAGGCCACACAACTGGTGAGAAACCGACTCAGCCCCCAGCAACCTGGCTGGGGTTTCCATCCTCAGAACAACTGCTCCAGATTCACCTTCTTGCTTCCTTTCCTGGCGGACACAACAGTAATGTCAGAAGGGGTCAAACGCGGTGACCCCTGGGATAACCAGGTAAAATGGGCCCCACCCAGCTCCAGCTCTGCCCCTCCTCCGGGCAGGTGTGGCCCAGGTGTGCACAGATGGCCCTGTCCATGCAGGGCCGGGAGCACCCAAGGTCACCATCCCTGCCAATGAGGGCCGCCCGGCCCCTGGGTTCACTGCCCTTGAGTCCCATGGGTGGGAGGGGAGCCGGTGCCTGGCCCTATGTTCCTCACCCACCGACTCCAGTCCGCATGCCCTTCAACTCCTGCTGCGTGGGGCTCCCCCCATTAGGAAGAGCACCCCACTCAATGGAAAGTCCCTGATGACCCTTGGGGCCCTGCCTAATCACAAGGCCCCATGGGCCAGGCACCATCCGGTTTCCATGTCCCCACCTCCTGACTCCCAGTGCCATCAGGAGGGTCCTGTCCCGAAGTGTCCCGCAGACTCCAGGACCCTCACTCACAGCCCCAAAGGCACAGATCACACACCTCCGCATGTTCACCAGGCACCTGCCGTGCCCCAGAGGTGGGGTTTGGATTGTAGAAGGTAACAGAGCAGGACACCTCTGTCCTGCGGTGGCTCCCTTGCCCCCTGATGCTGAGTCCAAGGGTAAGACAGACTCGGAAACGATGACACTGTTCTGCGGGCCACAGCCACCTTGTATTGTCTCCCAGAAACGAGACTCGAGTCTTACTCCCTCACTTAAAACCCTCCCAGGACCTCCCATCACATAGAGGAAAATCCAATCGTTTACCAAGCTCGGGGGCCGGGACCTGGACCACATCTGGACCTGCAGCTCCGTCTCTGGGTTCCTGACACGGCCTCCCCACCGTCCCCACGCACACGTCACCCTCTCCAGGCCCCGGGCGCCCTCTCGTCTCCTGGCAGTCCCCCGTCAGTCTGCCTGTCCTTTACCCGCTCGGCTTGTCTTCCCTCCTCAGTAAGACGTACGCTCCCCAGAGACCCCACCGGTTTCAGCCATCTGTGCATCCCTGTGCCTGGCATGAACCGGAAGTTAAATAAACACGTGTCAAGCTGGTGAATACATGCATTCAGATTCCAGAACACTCCAAGCAAGTTAGCCGGCCTCTCTGGACGCCCCTCCCTCATCTTTAAAATGGGGAGAGCACAGCAGCCCCGGGTGAGAATGGAAGAGATGTCTCAGCCCCGATGCCCAGGGACAGGAGACAGGTGCCCTGATGGGTTGTGAGTGGAATGCCTCTGCCCCGCCAGTCACAAGCCAACAGCCCTTCTGCAGGAGAAGTGGCTCCATGCTGGCTCTGCAAGATGAGTGACAGTTCTCCAGGGGCCTGCTGGCCAGGGGACATGAGGTGCCAAGGCTAAAGGCAGAGAGTAGCTAGGAGGGGATGTGTGTGAGATGACGGCGCAGGAGAAGCGGGCTCGGTGGGATCTCCCGATTGTTGGCCCCGCGGGTCGTGGTCTGCGCTGTGCCTCAGGGAGTGGCGCCTCGATCTATGTTCTCGGTGGCGGAACGGTCTGGACTTTCCAGCTCTAAGTGGGTGACTGTCCATTAGGCTGCTGAGACCAGGTCCTAAAGAGAAGGGGACACTCGCAGCCAGCCCCTGGCCCCAACATATACATGGACTCCCTCGACCCAGGACACAAAACGACGGACCTAGTTTGTGCGTCCGTCCCAGGGCCCAAGGCTGCTCACACACAAGCATTAGTCCGAACGTTCAGTCCTGCTGGGGGTGCAGAGGTCATGGGCTCCCTTTATCCTGACAGCTCCGGGAACAAGGATGGGGTGGTGGGAGGGCAGAGGCCATGACAGTGACCAGGGGTGGGCAGGAGAGCCTCCCCAGACCCAAACCACACAAGGACAGTAGACGATTCTCAGGGACTCAGGGACCCTCGCCTCCCTCCATATCACATCGTCTATAGATGAGAGCCGGGCCCCGACACACAGGAGGGAGACACAACTTGGCCCGGGGTCTAGCAGCTGTCCAGAAGGAAGCTGGAGGGCTGGTCCGCCTGCCCTGTCCAGAGCTGCCAGCAGACTGCCTCTTCAAGCTGTTTATCTAGGCAATGCCTCTCTTTCAAGAAGCAGCCCCTCTCAATTTTTGCCTCTTCCCTGAACCTTCCACGCCCCACCCCCTCCCACCTCTGAATTCCAGTTGCTCTGAGGACCAGCCCACCCCCACTTAAGAGTTTCCCAAGCTGACTCCTCAGACTGCAAGGAGTCAGTGCTATTAATAATAATGCATACTCACGGCACACACTCGTGTGCTTGGCACCACGCTAGGCACTCTACATATACGAGGTAGGTACTATTGTTATACCCATTGTACAGATGGGGAAACTGAGGCACAGTGAAATTAGGTAACCTCCCCAAGGCCACACTAGTCCGAAGCTGAGCACCAGGATTCCAATCCTAGCCGCTGACTCCAGAGCCCTGGCTACTAACCACACAACACCTCCTCAACACCATCTTATTCACTTCATATCCCCACACATGTCCCTGAGAGATCAGCACACAAAACTCCTGCAGATAACTCTTGTTTCCCTTGGGCTCCAGGCTCCTGGAAGTGTGGTTCTCTATTAGGGAAGATGATAGCAAATAGCCACTAGATGGCAGCAAAGAGCCAGTTCCCGGCATCCCAAGGGGTAAGAGGATGGTAACAACTTTTTATCTATTTAGTGCACCTTGCATCAGGCACTATACAGACACGTCCTCCTCACTAAGGCTGCCCCCCTTTACAGGCAGGAAAGGACACACACGCTGAGACAGGGCGGGCAGCGGGGAGCCCTAGGACTGAGGCCAGTTGCCAGGAGGAAAAGACCAGGGAAATTCCCTCAGCTGAGGGGTCCCCTCCAGGCCCAGGGTGGGCTCCACTCCCACCCCACCTCCATCCCCAGGGGGCACAGAACCTTCCGTCCTGGGAGGGGGTGGTCGGCCCAGCTGCTCCAAGGTGGTCACCACCCAGCAGCCTTACTGGCTGGGAGGCTGTTGCTGTGAGATGGCAAGGCATGCCGACGGCATGGTCTCAGAGACCAGCGCAGCGCGGGCCTCGGACCAACGTTCTTGGCCTTCACCACCGAAGAGGACACCGAGGGCCCTCAGGGGGCCCCTGGGGCCCCAGCACTCCCACCCTCGCTGTGTTGGGCTCTCCTGACCTGAGTCCCCTTCGAACTCACCCCCCGGGTAGCTGGCGTGGCCAGAGACTTCACGTCCACTGGAGCTAAAGAGCTCTGCTTGCCCCTGTCTAACCTCCACACCTGAAACCCTCCCCCGAGCTGGGCCGGCCTCCCCGTCGGCTGTTCACGGGGAGCGGCCGCAGAGGCGGTGGGCGAAGGGGGCAGACGCATCGCTCCCCGAGGCCGAGGTGACCTCACAGGACCCACAGGCTGGGACCCGCGCCTGTCCGCAGGCCTCCCAGTGTGGCCGGAGCCGGAGGCAGGGCTCCAGGGCAGCTCGGGGACATGCCATCTTGAGCGTCGGCAGCTGGTGACCGTCCTGGCCGAGTCCACGGAGCCCTGGCTTCACAGCCGCACACACGGCGGCGTCTGGCCCCTTCTCCCTCGGCCCTCCCGGGGCTCGCGCAGCCAGACGGGGCCTCTGAAGACGCAAGAGCTGGGGTTTATTGGGCTTGGGCAATTGCGGGTTCAGGCAGAGTTTGCTCCTGGGCAGAAGAGTCACCACCTCAACTCTCGGTGCTGCGGGGGGCTGCCCCGTGGGGCCCCTCCCCTCGTCCCTGCACACGTGATGTCACCCCCTCCCGGTCCCTGGTCTCTATTCCTTCACCAGCCGGTAGATGTGGTGCTGAGCCCCGTGCTCGCTGGCCGACACCTCGAAGACGTACGCCACGCACAGCAGGGTCTCCTGGGTGTCTCTGTTGGTGACCACCTGCGGGGGGGGGGGGATATGCCTCAGGACACAGCGTGCCGTCTGCTCCGCCCACCGCCCACCCCTGCCCCTACGCCTGCACACACCACACACCTTCCCCCCACACCTGCCTTCACACCTGCACACACCACACACCCTCCCACACACCTGTCCCCTCACACCTAAACACATCACACACCTGTCCCCCCACATCTGCACACACACCTGCACACACCGCACACCTGTCCCCCCACACCTACACACATCACACACCTGTCCCCCCACATCTGCACACACACCTACACACACCACACACCTGTCCCCCCACACCTACACACATCACACACCTGTCCCCCCACATCTGCACACACACCTACACACACCACACACCTGTCCCCCCACATCTGCACACACACCTGCACACACCACACACCTTCCCCCCACACCTGCCTTCACACCTGCACACACCACACACCCTCCCACACACCTACCCACACCACACACTTGTCCCCTCACACCTACACACACCTGCACACACCACACACCTTCCCCCCACACCTGCACACACCACACACCCTCCCACACACCTACCCACACCACACACCTGTCCCCTCACACCTACACACATCACACACCTGTCCCCCCACATCTGCACACACACCTGCACACACCACACACCTGTCCCCCCACATCTGCACACACACCTGTCCCTACACACATACCTGCCTTCACACCAGTTCCCCCCACACACACCTGCCTTCCCACATTGGCACACACACACACATTTCCCCACACCTGTCTTCACACCCGCCTTCACACCTGTCCCCCCACACACACCTGCTCCCACACACACACCTGTCCCCTCACACCTGCACACATCACCCATCTTCCCCCCACACCTGCACACACACCCGCACACACACACCTGCCTTCCCACATCTGCACACACACACACATCTGTTGCCCCACACCTGTCTTCACACCTGTCCCCCCACACCTGCACACACACACCTGTCCCCCCACACCTGCCTTCCCACATCTGTGCACACACACATCTGTTGCCCCACACCTGTCTTCACACCTGTCCCCCCACACCTGCACACACACCCGCACACACACACCTGCAGGATGGTGAAGTTCTCCAGCACACTGTTCATCATGTACTTCTCAGGCAGGTGCTTCAGCTTGTGGATGAAGTTGATCATGTACTCACAGAGCGGGGAGCGGTGGATGCGGTAGGAGTAGTGGCCGTTCTCGTAGCGTGCGTACTCGGTCTGCAGGGCCAGGGACAGCGCGACTTAGAAGGCTGCTGCCCACCTCCAGCCCGACAGCTCCCTGAGGAAGGTCCACGACCCACTAGGGCTTAAGTGGGAAGGTGGGGCTGAGCCCCGGGGTCCCTGGAGACAGACCCCCCACCTCCCCTGGGGACCCAGACACCCACCGGGTATCTGAGGGAGGAGCTTAAAGACGCGGAGGCGGGGACAGAGTGACAGCTCAGTTCTGGCCGCACACAGGGGCAGGGTCACAGGGACCTTGTGGCCACGGATCCGTCATGTATGTGCATCCACACATCTGTGCACACTCAGATACACAGCTGAGCGTGTGGGCTGCATCAGAGTCAGCTTCAGGGGGCTAATGCTCCATCCACTCTAGTAGGCAAGAGGGGGCTAGCAAAGGGATTACAGTTGCATGTGGATCACAATTATCTCAAACTAAAACTTCACTGGAAATAACTTGAAGAGCTTTTCAGAGACTGCGTCTTGCCCAGACAACACCGCAGGTGGGAGAGGTCTGGGCTTAAGCACTGTGGGGGACTTGGTGCCAGGGTGTTGGCCCCCCAAGACCTGATGCACAGCAGGTGAGAACCACCAGGATGGGGGGGGGGTGGGCTGGCCTCTCACCCCCCTCCCCGGCTCGTGTTGGGCATGAGGTAGGTTGTCAGTGATAAGGACAAGGTGAGGGTGAGACTTCCTTAATTCAGGCAAATCTGGGGAAAGAGGTGAGAAGCCCAAGCTGGGGACGGAGCGGGGGGTGTGTGTGTGTATGTGAGGGGCCAGAGCCCAGGTGGGCAGCGTGGCCTACCTCCACTTTCTCCACCACCTGCTTGCCGAAGGAGCACACCTTGGTGGAGCAGGTGATGATCATGTTCTCGGGGCTCTCGTACTGGCTGGACACCCCGTAGAAGGAGGTGCCCTCGTCCTCCATGTTGGTGTTGAGGTCTGCCTGGAGGAAGACAAGGGCAAGGGCGGGGTGGTGACTCAGAGGGGCCCTTTTGGGGGCCACGGCCCAGGTCCCAGGGCCAGGACACCATCGAGGTGGGGGACGCTCAGAGAGAACATGGATGTAGGACCTCAGAAAGCGTCCCTGTCCGTTCACACACAGGCCTGGGGTAAAGTCAGCCTGTGCAACAGAAGCAGTGGCAAGAGCCTGGCCCCTACTGCCCACCAGGTACCCTCCGCCCAGCAGACGGGACCTCACATTGGCCTTCAGCGCAACGAGACCCTGCCGGTGCCTTTCAGCAATGGCTCTGGGGGGCCAGCCCCTCGCCATCTCTGTGACCCAGTGAGTCCAGCCACCCTAGACTTTTGCATCTCAGTTCTGCCTCCAGACCAGCCCCCTTCTGCTTGGCCCCTCCTCTAAACTGCTCTGAGAGGTCTGGGCACCCTCGTGCAGAACCCCTTTAAAACGCGACCACCACCGGGTTGGCAGGGCCTGGCCTTACCCCTTCCGGATGGTGAAGACCCCGGAGGCAGGAACCAAGCTCTCCCAGGGCCCAGCCAGGCACAGGGTGTGTGCCTTCACGTGTGTGTGGCACGTGGCTGTCTGAGCCTGCCCCCACACAGTGGCTCTGGGCAAGGAGCGGTCCTGTAGTCACAAGGAGGGCACCTACGCTTCCTGCACCTCCAAGTCCTCAGAACCGCAGCCCCACCCCAGCCCAAAGACGCTCCCGGGTCTTCTGGCATCGCCTCCCACTCACCTGGCCTTTCAGTCACTCATGCATCCTGCCTGGCCCAGAACAGCCAGGGTGGAAGGGAAGAGGCTGCGACATAGTCTCTGCCCTCAAGGAGTGTGTGTGTGTGTGACTTGGGGGGTCGGGGGGAGCAGCGAGAACAGGTGAGCTGACAGTTGAGAGAGAGAGAAGGAGATGGAGCAGAGATGCAATTCCATAAGAACTTCCCTGGCGGTCCAGGGGTTAGGACTCTGTGCTTCCACTGCAGAGGGCTGGGGTTTGACCCCTGGTCGGGGAACTAAGATCCAGCATGCAAAAAGGGAAGTCCCAAAAGCAAAGGTCCAGAGTCTGCCCCAGAATCTACCCCTGGGGACCCCAGCTGACAACAGCCACACAGCATCCTCTGTGACGTCCTAACTACGATCCCACCCCCTTGACAGCCCCACCGCAGGGTTTCCTGCCCACCGTGTGCCCCCACTCTGAGCCCCCCGCCCACACAAGCTTGGCATCTCCACCCTCCCAGCCTGAGAGCAGAGCTGCCCCCCTGTTACCCTCAGAGGTGCCCCACCCCCCACCCCAGCGCCCCCTTGCTCCCCTCCCCCACCCTATTCATAGCCACGGTGCGGTGGGCAGCTCGCAGGCTGTGCCCGGAACAGGTGTGGGGGATCGGATGGCTGACAGATGAGCCGAGACAGCCGGGCGAGGGGGCCGGGGGCTCAGATTCATTGTCACGCACTGGTATGTGCCCGGGAGACAGGGCCCTGCCACGGAGGAGGGGCTGGGGCCCTGTCCTCCCTGCCAGCTCGGCCCGGCCTTTTCAATCCAGAGTTAATGGCCATCAGTGTCCAGGAGGCCCCTCTCCCTCCCCCAACGGACAGAGGAGGACTCTGCTGATCTCACAGGTCCTGGGGGAGGAGGGCGGGGCGCTGGCCTCTCAGCCCCTGCATCTCACATGCACGGGGCCCAGCCTGACCCCCCAAACCCCTCCTGTGCCGATGCCCTTGCCAGCTGCAACCGACGAGCCCTGGCAGACGCGAGCCAACAACTCACTCCCTACCCTCCACCAGTGAGGGCAGTAACTCGGCAGGAGGGGCCGGGAGGCCGAGCTGGGGACATCAGAGTCCCCCCTCCTCCCACTCCAAGTCCCCTCTGACCCACCCCGCTGCCTGCGTGCCCAGGGCCTGGGGCCAGATGAGAAAACCACCAGGCAGGAAAAAGGAGGCTGGGGGCAGGGAGGGGGCTCACCAAGTCCTTGGCCAGCTGTGTCCCTGCCTAAATGTGTGGCCCATCCCCCTCCAGCTCCAGGCCAGGGCGCAGTAGAGGGTTCCGGATGGCTGTGGTCTGGGGCTGCCCGGGAGGACCCTGAGTCCCATGGTTAGCAAGCAGGAGAACTGCCTTCCCCACATCACAGGTCTGACTTTCCCTGGCACCTCTGCCTTCCCCACACAGGAGGAGAAGGACCAGATGGTGGCTGAGGTGTCCCAGCCACCGACATGCCCCCCCGCCCCCCGCCTCCCCGGCCCGCTGCCCCGTCCCCAGATCCGATTTCACCCACCCTCACCCTGCCCAAGCCTCTGGCAATCAGGGCTCAGGCTGGGGACAGGAGGCAGGCATACGACCCCCTTCACCGTCAGCTGACCACACATGGTAGGGTCCTCAGACATACAGCTTCTCACACGCCCTCAAGAACCAAGAGCTGACTCTGCAGGTGGAGAAACAGGGCCCAGAGGAGCCGAGACTCCCGGGAAGGCAACTCCCCAGCCAGGGTCTCCGCTGCCCACCTGGCTCTCCTCACACACTGGAGGGCTCGCTGGTAGGCCGCCCCCAGTCCTGTGTGGTGACCGCCACAGGGCGCTGAGCACGCAAGCTCCTGTTGGGTCCATAGAGCACAGGCTTGTGTGTGCAGCCCGCAGACGGGGCACTGAGGCCAGAGTGGAACTTGCCCGTTCACGGTTCCTGGCACCTCTGCCCCCACCCCCTCTTCTTTCATCATCCCTGCCCCCAGCCCCCCCAGGGTCAGAAGGAAGGAGAGGACCAGGGCCATGGGCCAGACTGGGGAAGGATACTCTGGCTCCTCCCCACCTCCTACCAGCTTTGATCTCCAGGCAGGATGGAGATCATCCCGACCATCTCCTGGAAGTGAAGTCTGGGCTCCAGAAAACGACTCTGAATGCACATCAAAGTTTGCTCTCTTCCTGCCCCGACTTGGGGGCTGGGGTCCCTGCTTAGGCAATCCAGAGCCTTCTCCACCAGGACAGGGGGAGCACCAGGGCCCTGCAGGAGGCAGCAGGCACCCGGCAAAGCAGGAAATGTAGGGCGGTGGTTACAAGCACACTCCCAGAGCTGGGTCTGAGCTCTGGGCTGCCACTACGAACTGGGTGGCCCTGGCAGGTCATTTCAGCTCTCTGTGTCCGTTTCCCCTCTAGGGACCAAGGCTGTCAACTGTACCTCCCTTCAGTACGGTGGCAAGGATGCATGCTCAGTTGCTCAGTTGTGTCTGGCTCTTTGTGACCCCATGGACTGTAGCCGGCCAGGCTCCTCCATCCATGGGATTCTCTAGGCAATGATACTGGAGTGGGTTGCCATTTCCTCCTCCAGGGGGGTCTTCCCGACCCAGGGACTGAACCCGCATCTCTTACATCTCCTGCGTTGGCAGGTGGGTTCATTACCACTAGTGTCACCTGGAAAGCCCGGTAAAGAAGAAACATGCTAATAGAAGTAACATGATGAGGGTGACCTTCTCCCGACAGCCCTGACCTTCCCCAGCATGCCCATCACAAGAAGGATTGCAGGAGCCAGGCTCGCTGGGCCTGGGCGTCTCAGAGCCAGGCCCTTGCTGACTCCATGCCTCAGTTTCCCCATCTATGAAATGGGGATCTAGGGTGGTTCTCATCTGGAGGGTGGCTAGAAGAACACAGAATATGATCTCCAACTGGAAGAAGGCAGGTGCTGGTGAGAAGGGCCCCCATGCTGCTATCTCCCCCGACCAGGGCAGGGTTCCCGTCAGTGCCTCCTGCCAGCCAGGCCTCCCTGGTCAGGCTTCACCCTCGTGGGAATTGAGCCAAGGGCCGAGTGATGGTCATCGACGAGCTGGGGCAGGAAGGACAAGGCCACGAGGGACTTACCCAAAACTTCACGAGGAAAAAGGCGTTGGAGGGTCCGCGTTCAAAGAGCTCCTTGAGGCCGCCCTTCTTCTCGGGGAACTTGTCGTAGATCTGGTGGATGTCCACGGCTTCGAGGTAGGGGTCGCTGTAGCTGGGGCTCGACTGGCCAATGTGCACAAATAGGTGCTTGTTGTACTGTGGGCACAGGAGTGCTGGTCTGAGGGACCGCAGGGCGGACGGATCAACCCCGGGGCGCTGAGCCCAGCCAGGGGCCCAGGGCAGGGATGCCACGGCAGGGCCTCAGTTTCCCCTCTGGGGACACGGAGCAGGAAGAAGGGCTGAGCGCAAAGCAGAGTAAACAGGCATCCCGCGCCTGAGGCGCGCGTCTCCCCACAGGTGCTCGGCACGTGTTGGTGGCTATTTGCACTATTCTGAGTCATGACTCCGCCACTGAACATCCTTAGGCAGGTCATTTCTGTCTTTGGACCCGCTCAATCTCACGTGTGATGGAAGACCACTGAACCAGAAAAGGGGTGCTTCTTCCGCTTGGACTGATGGTGGGGGCGTGGGAATCCCTTGCTGCAACCCAAGAAAATCCACTTCTTTCACAATACATGCTGGGCTTCCAAGGAAGGGTTTGTCTGACTAACGAGTTCCTCACCTGAAAAATAAGCTTCTAAATGTCAAACTGGGAGTGGGAGGGTGTAGGAGGGAGGCTCAGGAGGGAAGAGGATATATGTATAAGTATGGGCTGATCCACGTGGTTGTATGGCAGAAACCAACACAACAGGGTAAAGCAATTATCCTCCAACTTAAAATAAACTAAGAAAAAAATAAAGACCTTGGGAAATCTTAGCATCTAAGAAATAAAAGCATTAAACTGAAATGATCAGTGAAGTTTCCCCGACTCTGGCCTCCTATCCACGGCCAGGTGCTACTCTGAACTCCGCAGGTGACGCTGGTCACCCAGGATGGAGACACAGAGGGGACAAGGTGGAGGTGGACTGATGCTCCTGCTGGTGACCCCGAGGATGTGGGGCAGACAGGCTGCTCCTTGGAGCCACAGGGGACAGCGCAGTGCAGCCAGGGGTGGGGCTGGAACCAGTGTCTTCAGAGGGAGAGGTGACTAGGCGGGAGGAAGGAGGACGTGAAGGGACTGGGGGCTAGGATGGGGCACAGAGACCAGGGGAGGGCTTAGGGGAGGGAGAGACACAAGGTCCAGTGAGAAAGAAGCCAGGGGGAGGACGGGTGAACCAGGAGAGGATGAGAAGGAACAGGGAGCCTAAATTTAGTCCCAAGGTGGAGCGGGGCAGAGGGCAGGGAGAGAAAGCCAGAGCAGGTAAAATAGGAGCTGGAGGAGGCTGGGGAGCAGCACCCTCCAGGAAGGAGGACGGGGCAGGAGAAAATCCAGCTGGCAAAGCCCAGAACCTACCGTATCGGGGTCCTGCTGCCGCTCCAAGAAGGCAGAGAACTCCAACATCCAGAGCTTGGAGCTGGCCACGCTGCGGCCCTGCCATGGGGGCGCAGGGGGCGCAGAGGGCGACGGGGCAGGTCCTGCCGGAGATTCAAACCCTGCACACAGTGGACGGCACATGGGAGCCGGCCCACACGGCCTCCCCCAGACCCCCAGACCCATCGGAACCTGGCTGGGGGACCTGCTGTATGCCTCCAGGCAGGCGTGGGGGTGGGGGCCAAGCACTGGCCAGTGGTCCAGGGGCAGCCCTGGCAGGGAGCTCAGGCCTGGCAGCTCAGTCCCCTCCGGGCACAGGACAGCTCTCCGGGGAGACGATGCTGGGCAGGGACAGGTTGGGGGGTGGGGGGGCAAGGGGATGGGAGTGGTTGGGGGCAGGGGTCGAGGGGAATGCCTGCTGGACCCAGGGCTTCCAGGGCAGGCACTGCTTGGTTCTTGCTCCAGAGGGGCTTCAGGTCCAGCCAGGGAGATAACTGGACAAATGACTACAATGACACGAGTCTCTGCCCAGCCCCTGGGACAGCATTTGGCCCAGAAGTGAATGCAGGTTTGTGATTAAGTGAAGCAATGAACATGATGGAAACAGACTGAGCGCTGCAGGGGGGCTCCTGGTCCACCTTGAAGGTGATCAGAAAGGCTTCCCGCAGGTGATGCTTAAAGAGGTTATGCAGCGGGGGTGGGAGGGAGGCCCAGGTGGCAGGGGATATATGTATACTTATGGTTGATTCACACTGTTGTAAAGCAGAAACTAACACATCGTAAAGCAATTATCCTCCAATTAAAAATAAACTTAATAATAAAAAAAATAAAAAGAAGTGATGCGGCAGGAGCAGGAGGCAGCAGCGGAGACAGGGGAATGGGCTCCAGGCAGAGGGCATGGGGCTGTTGGATGCTCAGTGGGCTGGGAGGCTCCGTCCAGCAGGTTGGTGTGGGGGCCGGAAACAAGGCTGGAGAGTTGGGGCCTGGCTGCTGGGTGAGGAGTTCAGGTATCAGCCTGAGCTCAGGAGGGTGACAGAGGATTCTAGGCAAGGCTAAGGAGCGATTGGCTGAGCATTTCTGCACATCTTGTTCCTTGTGGAGGAAGGACTGGGCAGGGGCGAGGCTGGCCAGGGACGCAGGCCACGTGGGCTCTTCTCGAGGGGGGACAAGAAGAGGGCAGTGAAGAGGAGGGGACACAGGACGGACATGGAGGGAGCAAGACTGCAGGACTTGGTGACAGACAGGACGAGGGGGCAGCCGAGGCAGGAAGGTCAGGAGCCCGGGGAGGGGACAGAGACGGGGTGGCAGAGGAGCGGGCGGAGGACCACGCTGGACACACCAGCTCACACACTGGACACCTGAGCTGGATCCCTCGTTCAAGCTCCCTTGTCCAAGGGTAGCTTCCCGAGTCCTGCCTGGTGAGGGCACACTAGACGTGGCCCAGCACATGGAGGAGAGACACAGACACCAGCCCGGGATGGTGCCCGGGTGCACAGAGAGTGACAATCACCAGGGAGCCTCTAATGGAGTCTAAGCCAGAAGCAGCGTGGTGAGAAAGACGCTTTAAAAAGATGATGGGTGAGTTATGGGGTGGAAGAGCAAGGATGTGGCTGCAGATGGGGAAGCTGGTCAAGAGGCTACGGCAGTGACCCAGGCAGGAACAAGGAGGGCCCGAGAGAAGCTGATGGGCAGAAAGGGGAAAACACAGATTAGGGAGGTGGGGGTGGCCCCAAGCGGCCGTCAAGAACCTAGGAGGGTGGCAGGGCTCCTCTCAGAGCAGAAAAAGCCAGGCCAGCATGCAAGCAGGAGCCAATCCCAAACCAGGAAAGGTGGCCATGGGCAAGGATCCCGTCTTGCCCTGCAGAGGGGAAGGTGGAGGGACCCTCCTGAGAAAGATGCAGGGACAAAGCTGGTCATGTGAGCAGCCAGAGTGCCGCCCAGTCTGCCCCATCTCAGGAGTCTTCCCTCTGCTGACCAGGGGCTCCAGGCTGAAACGCCAGGCTCTGTGGGAACTCCGTCTTGAAGGAGAGGGTTACAGTGTCCCAGAGGGAGGCCAGCCCAAGAGCCAGGCTGGATGGGATGTATGTGCAAGTGGAGCAGCTGCCTGGGGCACCCACCGTGCCCCTTGAACCATGCGCACGCTGCCAGCCCTGAGTCTCTCTGGGGAGGATGGGCAGCCCCAGGCACACAGGGGTCTTGGCTCTGGAGAGGATCGGGGTGCTGCCAGGAGACGGGGTACACAGTCTGAGCACGCACCAGGATGGCGTCTAAAGGGGCGTGATCGCCCAGCTGTCAGGACCTGGGACCGGGACAGGAGCCGCAGGGTGTGACACGGGAGGGAGTCAGACCCTGCCCACCCACCTGGCAGAGGCAGTGACGGCTGGACAGTGTAGGTTTGCTGGGAGAAAGGTTTCACACTGCGGGAGATGAGAGAGGACACGTGAGCCCGGGGCAGACACGGAGCCTCGGTCAGGCCCCTGGGCTGTCTGTGATGCAGCCTGGGAGGTCAGGGACTCTGGCCTCCTGCTCCCTCAGGATTCTGACTGGCCCACGGAAGCAGCATGTCTGTTGGGCAAACCCATCACTCCCTCCCTCCCACCCAGGTCAGCCTCCTCCCCTCGGGGTCTCGAGCTCAGGCCCTGACCCACCCAGGACAGACTGGGGCTTCAGCAAATGCCACCCAGGTGCCCCATCCATAAGCACAGGGCCACCCGGAAAGGCTGACTCCACCCTGTGACCCACCCACCCTGCGGCCGGGGTCAACAGAATGGTTCACCGGCTCAAGTGCAGCCCAGGGTGTAATCGGAAGCCATACTCACTCGTGGGACGTTCCGGCTTGGCCCGGCAGAGCTCCTTGCCAAAACTGAGGAGGTAAAAGCACAGGGTCAGCAGAGACCCGTGGACATGGCCAACATTGTGGAGTCAGACATGGCAGGGGCCTCAGAGCTGGAAGGGAGGCTGGAGCCTGGGCCTGGGGGCTGGGGAGGGTGTTAACACCCCTGCCTCCATCCAGACAGTATGGCCTCCCAGAGAATGCATCCAGGAAGCCCAGTCCCTGGAGCATCCCCCAGTGAGGGGCTCCCAGGAGCAGCCCCCAAACTTGCAGACACGGCTCCTCCCATCTCCTCCCTCAGAGACAAGTCCTCTGTGACGGTGCCAAGCATGGCCCCCAACAGTCCTGGAGCCAGGCATCCTGCTTAGATCTGAGCACCCCAAAGTCACATGGGCACACCTCAAGTCCCGTCGTCCTATCTACTCAATGCCCTGCTGGACTAGAGGCCTCTGGACACTGAAAAACGGCTAAACAAGAGGCTCACCGGACTGCCCCTTGTTCTCGGGCCTGGGGTGGTGCATTAGTCCCGACAGCCAGGAAAAAGCCTGTACGGACACACCCTGGGAAGGAGGGGCCTCCCTGGACTGTTCTTAGAGCAGCCGAGAGACCCATTCTCAGGCCAAGAAGTTCACATTCAAGAGTTTGTTCTTGGACGTCAGCCTCCACCTGGAAGGAACACCTGAGGGGGAGCGGGGGTGAGGCCAAGTGGGGGCAGGGTTACTGGGGACCGGCCAGTGCTGCCCCAAAGCCTGGGGCCTCAGCCGCCTCTTCTGCATGTGTGCGTGTCAAGCTGCTTCAGTGGTGTCCCACTCTTTACTATGAACTGTAGCCCACCAGGTTCTTCTGTCCATGGGATTCTCCAGGCAAGAATACTGGAGTGGGCTGCCATGCCCTTCTCCAGGGGATCCTCCCCCACCAGGGATCAAACCCAGGTCTCTCGTGTCTCCTGCTTTGGCAGGTGGGTTCTTTACCACTAGCACCATCAGGAAACCAGGCCAACTCTGAAGAGCCCCCAGGCCGCCCATCTGATGGCGTAGCTTTGCCCTGCCAGGGCCCCCAGAGGGCAGTTCCAAAGCCTGCACGGCCCTCGGTCCTTGGTCCCTCCTTCCCTGAGAAGACTCAGGTGAGGACTCTGGTGTGGCTAGTGCTGTGTCTCCTCAGAAGGGGGAGGAGGGAGAAGGACAGGGCGGCCCGGCCTCCGGCTGCAGGCAGCTCCACTTACCCCTGAGACCGCTGGGTAGCCTGGGCCCCGGGTGAGGGTCATTTTACTGTGGAAGGCTGCGGCGGAGATGATCTGGGCGGACGACATGGCAGCCATGCTCTGCAGGGCCTTGTCCTTAGCTGCCTGATCCTGGGGAGACATTGGGGGGGAGGCCTCAGCGCGAGCACCGTCCAGACCAGCAGAGGACCCGGAACCAAGCTCCCACTCCTGCAGGGCTGTGAACCTTCCCTGTGACTCTGAATAAGTCACTGGGTGGCTCTGATCCCTTTCCTCATCTGTCAAAGGGGACCCTTGTCCTGCCTGTCGCACTAGCGTTTAAAGAGACTTTGACCCACTCGCAGGCACATAGCCGGAGAAAAACATGATCCGAAAGGATCCAAGCACCCCAGTGTTCATTGCAGCACTGTTTACAATAGCCAAGATGTGAAAGCAACCTAAATGTCCATCAACAGAGGAATGGATAAAGAGGATGTGGTACATATATGCAATGGAATACTACTCAGCCATTAAAAAGAATGAAATAATGCCATTTATAACAAGGGATGGACCTAGAGAGTATCATACTGAGTGAAGGCAGACAGAGGAGAAATATTGTATGACATCCCTTATGTGTGGAATCTAAAAAGAAATGATACAAGTGAACCTACTTACAAAACAGAAACAGACTCACAGAAAACAAACTTACGGTTGCCAGGGGGAAGAGATAGTGAGGGAGTTTGGGATGGACAGGTACACACTGCTGTATTCAAAATGGATAACCAACAAGGACCTACTGTATAACACAGGGAACTCTGCTCAATGTTATGTGCCAGCCTGGATGGGAGGGGGGTTTGGGAGAGAATGGATACACACATATGTAAGGCTGAGTCCCTTCCCTGTCCACCTAAAACTACTAGAACATTGTTAATCAGTTACACTCCAAGGCAAAATAAAAAGTTTAAAGTTAAAAAAAAAATAAAGAGACTTGGAAGGTCACCTGCCAGACCACCACTCTCCTGTCTCCTAAGGGACACCTGCAAACAGAGACCACCCAGGCCTCACTCACCTCCACAGCAAGGGTGTCTGGGGCCCCACCTGGCTCATGGGAGAGGATGCAGGAATATGCTCAGAAGAGGTCATCCCCAGTCACATGGACAGTGACAAGGGCCAGTCTCCCGTGGTCCCCGTCTCAGACCTGGCCTATGGGTGTCAACTATACCACGGGCACCCATGGCTCCTGCATCTTTAATGTCTCAGAATGTGGCTGTCTGTCCTCTCTAGTCCAAAGACCCCCCCTAAAAAATGGGCTCACCCAGCACAGGCTCTGAATGAATCTGCAGTATCATCTGCTTATAAAAAATCCTTGTTAATACCTGTCTAAGCCAATGGTCCCATCCTGAGCTCCCCAACCCTGAAGGGCCTCTAAAGCAATAAGACAACATCTTGTATTTCAAAAAGTCCATATGGATCAGAAATAAGACCATACATACAGACAGTGGGCTGGTGCAGGCAGCATTACGGGCCAAAACTTTGGGTTATGTCAACTTGGGAGCTGTGATTAGAAATCCCATATCTTTATGATGGATTATTTTTAAATGGGAAAAATACGTGGGCCCTTTATTTAATCACCAACTTGGTGACCCAAATCTGTCCCGAGCAATAAGCAAGTGGATTGCTAAGGGAGGGCCTTGCAGCTCACAGCTGGGTTTGCTGTGACTTCAGTCGCCTGGTGGGCGGCATTACAGCAAAGGTCTGAGTGGTGAGCCTGGCGTCCTGTGGGACACGGTGTGGGGCCAGGCGGCCTTTCAGGGACCCTTACGGTCACGGGGCACCAGACAGCCCCCGGAAAGTAAAGAACGCTGTCTCACTTTGGCTCTGAACATCACAGGACCCCTGTGAGGCTGGCAGGACTTGTCACACCCCCATTCTAAGACAAACTGAGGCTCAGAGAATTTAGGGGACCTGGGTGTTGACAGGGGTCATAGGATGGTCTGCCCTGTGAAGTGGGTCCAGGACAGGACATCCGTGACCTCTGACCTCTGCAGGCCCAGGGGCTGAGCAGACCAAGGAGGGGGAAGGTCAGGACCTGAGGGCACCCCATCTTCAGCACAGAGGGTGCAAGGGGCCACACTGAGCGGTGGGCACCCCAGCCCACTGTCCTTTGGGGGTCAAACTTGGGACCTGCTCTGATGTGGTCTCTGCTAAACAAAGCATTAGGCCGCCTCTCTGCAAGGACTCTGGGGATCTCAGGAGCGTCACCTAGACTTGCTCCCTCCAGGACACAGATGGGGCGGCACCCCAGGAAGCCCACAGACCCCTGTTAACAATGGCAATGGGAGGCTGGATGGCTCCAACCCTGTGTCAATGACCTGTACTCCTTTCTGATAGCCGGCCTAACTGAACAGCCAGGGACCAGCAGGTGGGACAGGACTCGGGGGGAGTGGGGGGTGACGTCAGTGACCTGGTACTGAACTTTGAGGTTGGAGGGGACCTCAGACAGCACCTTGATTAACCCTGTCATTTATAGGCAAGGAAGCTGGCTGGAGCTAGAGGTGGATGACCCAGCCAAGCGCCCACGGGCAGAGCCAGGCCAGTGACCCAAAGATCTCCACCTGACCTTGCTGCCCACGTGCGAGCTTAAGCACTGGGCCCCAGACCCCTTGGAGAATATGGTAAAATCCTCAGACCCAATTCTCCCCTAAGTTCACATGCAGGAAAATGTGCATATTTACTTAAAGGACCCGTGGCTCCCTTGAAGCCTGTCTGGCCATCCACTGAGGCTATTCCTGGCCCCTCATCAGAGCCTATGGACAGGGACAGGTTCAGTCCCTCCAGCACACGTGGGCCGTACAACTGGGCCCCTTGGGAATCAACAGCTCCCTCGACAGCTCTAAACAGAAGCCTGGACACTCCACTCTCCACCAGGTCCCCTGCTGGGCCCCAGGGAGTCACAAGCCAGCCAGAGAGCAGAGTGGGGAGCAAGTTGGCGCCGGGGCTGAGGGTGTCCGGGTACATGTGCCAGCCTCAGAGGGAGGGACCAGCAGCTGCGGCCAGCCAGCTGTCCTGGGGGCAAAGGGGCGAGGGCTGGGCTGCAGCTGTGGGGGGCAGGGACAGCTGGGCTGATGCAGGAGGAATGGAGTTGGGTGGGCAGCAGGGGCAGCCTCCTGCGGCCTCCCACCCACGCCTTCCAGGCTCCAGGGTCAGGGTCATGGGCTTCAGGCCCAGAGGGGTCCTCTGTGGTCCTCTGGCCCAGGGGCTTTGAAACTGGGTTCTCAGATGCTTTCGGGTTCAAGAGTCTCGGGGCCTGAGAGGGACATAGAGGAGGGGTCCCTAGACCGCTCCTCGCCAACTTTGACCACAGCAGCTCCTCTGACATCGTATCGGTGATAATTCAGTTAGGAAGAAAAACAAAAAGGCTTCCACTGCTTTAAAAAATGTACATGGGGAATTCCCTGCTCGTCCAGTGGTTGGGACTCTGCGCTTTCACTCTCGAGGGCCCAGGTTCCAATTGCTGGTCAGGGAGCTAAGATCCTACAAGCCACACAGTATCATCAAAGAATTAAAATTAAAAAAATTTTTTTTAATGTCCATGGATTTACTGGTCTGGTCTAAGGCCCAAATGCTGGCTCCTCCATGGGATCCAGAAGGGCTGAGTCCCATGGGGAGGGGGCTCTCACCAGGGCTGGCCCCCTCAAGCACAGTCACTTGTCCAGGCCTGCAAGGGGGGGCTGATCCAGGAAGGGGCAGGAACCTCCAGTCCCAGAGAGCGGGGTGGAAAGAATTCCACCAGCCCCTCCTCCAGCATGGAACCCCACCCCCACCCCCAGCAGTACCTCCCAGGCCAGGCCACCCTCAGACAGTAAGGGGCTGAAGGGTCCTCAAGGAAAGGGGTCTGGAGGTCAATCCTGTTGCCCTAATCATGGATTCGGGGCGTGCACTGTCCCTCTGAGCTGGGGCGGGGTGGGGTGCAGAATGCACAGCAGGAGACTGGACTGTGCCTCCCAGGATGCTGAACCTGGCCGTTCACACACACACACACACACACGCACACACACACACATGGCTGCCAGTCAGTGATCAGTGTCCTCTGCTAGATGGGGGAGACAGGTTACAAGCTGAACCCCACTTTCCCCAGCACCTTGAAGCCCACTGGCTCTGCAGGCAGCCCCGAAACCCACGGGAAGACTTTTCCTCCTGGGAAAAGAGCCCAAAGTCCCAGAGGCCAGCCTTCCCAAGCCCTGGGCCCTTGCTCCCACCACCATCCCTGTCTTACCTTTAGCTTGGCCTGGATCTCACGGGCTTTTCGCCGAGCCAGCACCTGGATATGGCTGGATACCTGAGTCAGGAAAAGGGACTCCTGTTCCTGCTTCTCCCCGAAGGCCACTCCCCATGGGGCTCCCCCTGGCCCTCCACCCACCACAGCCCTCCATCCACATCACAGACTGAATGAATGAATGAATGAATGAATGAAAGATCCATCACTGACGGGCCCTCGGTTCCGCCCTCCCAGCTAAACAGAAGTGGGGTCCTCCTGCTGGCCAGGAGAAGCAGGGAAGTTGTCTCTCTCCTCCCAGCAACAGTGGCAGGGACCCCAGGAAACCGACCACAGGGGACATACCCAATGGAGGACCCCTCCCGAGCTGGCCCCCAGAGCCCACACCTGGTCCCGCAGAGAGCCAGACCCACCCTGGGAGCCACCGTTGGTGCCAGAGCACCCACCCCAGGGCCCACCTGCTTCCTGGTGCGGGTCTTTCCTGTCCGGAGCTTGATGTAGCGGGCGATCAGCTCATTCCGACCTGCAGAGACACAGCAGCCTCTCAGTAGGAGGGCCCGAGGGACCCCAGCCCTCACCTCTGCACACCTGCCCAGCACTCGGGGTGATGATTCTGCAGACCCCTGCCCCCCCACCCTCCTTGGATCCCAGGGGTCTCCCAGCAGCAGGAGGGAGCCAAGGCCTCGCTGGGGGCTGGTAATCTGAGGACAAGGTGACAGGGCCGTGGGGCTCCGGCTGGAGGGCACACAGCTTGGAACCCTTCTGCCAGAACCTCTCCCTACTGCAGCCTGGCAGCCACCTCTGCTCACGCCTCCCCTGGGGCCTCCCTGCCTTGGCCCTGGCTCCGGACAGCTCCCTCGGTCCCCACCACCTCCATGAAAGAGCAGGACCGGACAGGGAGTCTGTCCTGTCTGTGAGCAGCAGAGGGCACGTGGGAAGTAAGGAGTGTCTCTGGAGGGGAACCTGCAGCCCTGATCCAGACACAGCTCCACGGCTCCCGCTAGAACGTCACCAGGTCACACAAGCGCTCTCTGCCGGCCCAGCCTCCTAGAGGAGATGCTGAAAGACCCCACGTCCTCCCTGGTCATAAATGAGATCAGGACGAGGGCTCCCTGCCTTCCAGGAGCTCAACCCTTGTGTGGCCACATGACAGCCCAGTGCCTGCAGCCAACAGGGGCCACGCTGCGTGCTCAGAGGACAAGGCACCAGATCAGGCTGGGTGGCCAGGTGAGCCTTGAGCTGCACTGACCACTGGTAGGATTAGACCATAAAGAAGGGCACTGAGGGAGACGGAGGGTGAGAAGGTTTGTGCAGGAGTGATGACCTCCTTTCTCCACCTATGGGCACAGTCGCCAGCCAGCCCGGTCCTCTGGGCCTGGCTGAGCCAGGAGCCCTGCGGGGGGTAAGAAGCTGCTGATGCAGGGGGACAGCGAAACAAGCGGGCCGCCCGCCACCTGGGTGGTAACCAGGGAGCCCGGCCAAGGCCACGCGGGCCCCCCAGCTGACCTCTCCCCACTGCCAAGGCTGAATCAAGAGCCGCCCTCAGGAGGTCTCGTCTGTCAGGAAGATGCGCTGGCCTGGGAGCACAAGACTGTCTGTGTCAGGGAAGGAGCGGGAGGCCCGGACCTTGGGGACACTGCCTGTGGGCTGGTCTCTCTAAGCCCACAGTCCAGCACCACGGCCCTTCTCAAAGCTTCCCAGGGAAAGGTATTCCGCAGGCGGTCCAATGGACGCATGACAGTCCTACCCCACATCTAACCAGAGGCAGTCATGCTGTAGCTGTGAACAGCAGAGAAGTGGTCATGGGCTGGGAGCTGAGGAGCCAGGCTGCAACCTGGCAGCTCCACAGATGAGCTCCGGGGGGCTCACCACTCACTTCCCTCTGGACCCTCACAAGGCCTCCTCATCTAAAACCTGGGCCCTGATGGCCATAGACTCATCATTCAAACATGTCCAGATTGTACAGACAGGAATAGACCTGAACTCTGGCTCGACCACAGCTCTCTGGAGCTCAGTCTCCCTTCCTGTTAATCAAATGAGCTCCAGGCCCATGAGAGGAGTCCACTGCCAACAGTTCAGGGACAGAGGGTGGACGGGGTGAAGGTTCCTGGAGCCCCGAGGCTGAGCACACTGCCAGTGGGCATGGTGTCAGCAGTGGGGAAACTGATGGGGACCCTTTGGTCACCATCCAAGATCCAGTTCTCCTGCTGCTCCAGTCCTCGTAAGGGCAGCAGCCCATCACCTCTGTGTCTGTCTTTTCCTGCTAGATTCTTAGCATCACAGAGGAGGGGACCACACCTCCCTTCAGGTCTGCATCCCCAGACCAGGCATCTCTGTGTCGAATGAATGAATGAGTCTGCCAGCAAAAGCTGATGACTCTGTTTTCAAACTAGGTTGGAATCCAGCCCCTTCTCCCCCCTACCACCACCACCACACTTCAAGCTACCACCTTCCCTGGCTGGATTCCCTACTCTGAGTCCATTCTCTACATAGCAGCCACTGTGATGCTATTAAAACTCAAACCCCCTCTAAGGGCTCCCACCTGCCTGCCTTAAAAGTGTCCAAACCCCTACAACAGCCCAGAGGCTCCTGCAGGATCTGTCCACCTGCCCCCAGCAAAGCACCTCCTCACCCCGCACGACCAGCCTTTGAGGCTCTGAGCTTTTGCTGGACGTGCCAAGCCTTCCCACCTCAGGGTCTTTGTATGTCCTGTCCTCTGCTCAGAGACCCTCGAGGCCCACTCCCTCACCTTCACATCCCGAGGGCACCTTTGGCTCAGCTGCCACTATGGGGGGACATGTTCCCTAAACACCCTACTGAAAGCTGAGGTCACCCCCCAAGCCCCGCAACTGCCCATCTATCCCCGACTCCCAATAGGAGGAAATGTCCTGTTTATACCTAAAACTAAGAAAAGTGCTGCACAGAGAAGGCACTCAGTAAATGCTTGCTAAATGAATGATCCGATGTTGGTCACATCTTCTGTGGGAAAAGTGTGTGAATTAAATTTTAAGTGCAAATAGGGGACTTTCCCGGTAGTCCAGTGCTTTAGACTTCTCCGTCCAATGCAGGAGGGTGTGGGTTTGATCCCTGGTCAGGGGAGCTAAGATCCCACATGCCTCACAGGCAAAAAAACACACCTAAAGGAGAAGCAACATTGTAACAAATTCAATAAGACTTTAAAACGCAGATCCACATCCAAAAAAAAATCCTCTTTATGGCTGATACACCTTGTTGGAAGGTAGAATCCAACACAACACTATAAAGCAATTATCCTCCAATTAAAAATAAAATAAATAAATAGAAAAAATAATTAAAGAAGAAAAAAAATATGCAGATAATCTTCCACTTTCTATGAGTCTGGCATTGTTCTCAAAGTGGTCTCCTAGCCTGGTCTCATTTGAGCTTCTCAGGACAGATGCAAATCCAGATTTGGGTGGGCCTAAAGCATCTGAAAACTGTGAGGCTCTCTTTGAGAAAAGGAAATTAGAAATACAGACACAGAATTAGGTTCAGATCTTCTGGAGGTAAGGGTGGGCTCATTCTCTTGATGGTGGTCACGGCTCCATAGATGGACACATAGTCAAACCTACCAAATTGTCCACTTCAAATATGTGTCGTTTATTGCACATCAATCAGGTTTCAACAAAGTTATTTTAAAATTTTAATTAAAACTAAAAAGTTTTGGAAATTCCCATGGTTAGGACTCTGTGCTTTCACTAGCTGTCGTTGTTCAGTCGCTCAGTGGTGTTCGACTCTTTGCGACCCCATGGTCTGCAGCACGCCAGGCTTCCCTGTCCTTCTCTGTCTCCCTGAGTTTGCTCAAACTCAGGTCCATCGAGTCGGTGATGTCACCCAACCATCTCATCCTCTGTCGCCCCCGTCTCTTCTCACCTTCAATCTCTCCCGGCATCAGGGACTTTTCCAATGAGTTGACTCTTCACTATTAGGGCCCAGGTTCAACCCCTGGTTGGGGAATTAAGATCTTGCAAGCCACACAGTGCAGCCAAATAAATACAAGGAATTTTAAACATAAATAAACAAATTAAAAGTTTAGGAACCTGGAAGGGGCCCTGAAGCGTGAGCCTCACTGACTTCACCGGAAATGCATCTGCCCCACAGAAGCGCAGGCAGATGGAGCATCTCACCCAGGTGGGCACCAGAGGATGCAGCGTTAACGCCTGGGTTTGAGTCCTGGCTCAGCCACTTGGAAGCGGCTCAGGGCCTGGCAGAGAAGGTGCTCCGACTGCAGGAGGTCCACTCCCAGCCGGGGAGGGCCCTCCTGGCCTGGACATGGTGGCACATCCGTCACTGTTGTGTGTGCTCAGTCGTGTCCGACTCTTTGCGACCCCACGGACTGCAGCCCACCAGGCTCCTCTGTCCATGGGATTTCCCAGGCAAGAATACTGGAATGGGTTGCCATGTCCTCCTCCAGGGAAATCTTCCCAACCCAGAGATAGAACTTGCGTCTCCTGCATTGGCAGGTGGATCCTCTCCCACTGCACCACTTGGGAAGCCCTGTTAAACAGCAGCCAGGGGGCCCCTGCCCACCCCTGGCTGAGACTGTTTCTCCCCACATCACAGAGACCCCCCAGGTCCTGAAGACAGAGCCCTACCCAGCTCTAGAACCACCTGTGTCTCTGCTACAGGGTCCAGGAGCTCTGCCTCCAGACAGGCCTCCTGGCCCTGGACACAAGGCCAGCAGTAGGGCCAGAGGAGCCAGACCCAGGGGTCCAAGGCTGGCTCAGCTGTCTTTGCGCTTTTCAAGTTGTGCTTCTCTTCTTCTGGGGAGATTCGCCCTCCCCTCCCTGGCCAGCCCCTCTCAGACCGTACCCCAGCCAGGCCGTTTGTGCTGATCAGCAGTGGAGGATCCCGGGGTGGCAGAGGAGCCCCGGGCGTCTCTGGGTGTCTGGAGCCGAGGGGAACAAGCAGCTTCCTTCCTGCACCCGGAGGTCCTCCTGAGGTCAACCCGGCCATTCTACTGCCTCCAGACCGGCTGGCATCTGACCCAGACTTCATACAGACAGAGGTAACCGCTGTAGTTTCCTTCACTCTTATGACAACAGTAACAATAATGAACATTTATGGAGCAAACAGGCAACAGTACAAATACAGAGTGAAGATGGTAACTGCTCTATGTGTGTTCACGCCTTTGCCCTCCTGTGGCAGCAGTTCTATCATTTCCATTCCATTCACAAGGAGATCGACTTACAGAGAGGTTTATAAGCTTGTTTACATCAGAGGCCAGCAAGTGATTAAGAAAATCCAGGCAGTTTGGTTCTCTCTTTTTTTTTTTTTTCTTTTGGCCACACCATGCATGTGAGATCTTAGTTCCCTGACCAGGGATTGAACCTGCATCCACTACACTAGGAGCAGGGAGTCCTATTCACTGGACCACACAGCAAAGTCCCTAGAGCCTATCTCTTAACATCTCTTTAACTTGAGAGTGAGAGGACTGACAAGGTGGCCCCAGGGGTGCTTTGTAGCCTAAGGGAGAAGAAACTAAGGCGGCAGAGAGGGGATGTG